AAGTTGCGAAAATCAAGTCTCGAATACGGGACTTCGAATCCGCTAGGCACTCGCCTTACTCGATTAAAAGCGCTTGTTTCTGAGCATTAGCCGTCCGCAATGTGTTTACGTCGGCTCGATGGTAGCAAGACAGAGACGTCCGCTCTCTCTCTATAGCCGAACGGCCGAGCGCACACAGACGCGTGACGTAAGCGCTTCTTACTTGTGTTGGGGCACGAGAGCCGCGAGCCCGGTAGTAGATATCGCATCACTGGTTTCAGTTATAATACAATATCTTTTACACCAAGTAATACACAATTTCGACTGGCTCAACTGGCTACATATTATGCAAAAGAGAATTGTGCGCCTAATTCCTTATATAAGTTTATTCCATGATGAATTATCTTTCTTCGAAACAGCAGTACAAAATACAAGATGTCGTCGTTTACCAAATAGACTTCACGATATAGTTTGTCTGTCACGTTCCCGTGATAATTCCGCTGACCCTTGTTGTGGTAAGAGTGTGCAATATCGACATAATGTATATGAAAAATGTAATTTTACGCTATTAATAGAAACAGTAACTTACTTAATCATAATTCTCTTCAGGTTTGGATTGTGCGGATGGAGTTTGCAGAAATCAATTAAATTACTTTAAAAACTTCGAAGATGATACGAATTTCGAAGAAAGTATAGTGTATCTATCTTTAACACCAATTTTGTATTTTACTCTATTGATTATGATAGAAGAAAAATTTTTTAAGAAATTATTTACAAAGACGAGAAAATTAAAGATGGAACAGGAAACAATGGATGATCAAGTGAAGAAAGAAAAACTTACAGTAGCGCTAGAAATCAATAAAATTAACAGTCAAAGTAAGATAATTTTGTCTATATTTTAAATAGTATTTTGATATAGAATGTTAGAGAGAGATAACACTGAATATGTAAGAGTATTTATGTGTAATAATATTTAATATTGCATATTTTACATATAGATAAAAACGTTGCAAAACAAGAACCCAAAGTAAATTCTGCAGACGCCATTAATTCTGAGTTACTGCACAGCCCGACAAACGAAGATGACAGTCTGTTTTTAGTATACGAACTAAGCAAATATTATGGAAAGCTAATGGCCGTGAAAAAAATCAGTTTTTGAGTGAAACCACGAGAATGTTTCGGATTACAAATCAAAAATTCATTTAACTCACAGGAGCAATATTTAAATCTAAATTTTTGACAGAACGACGTCATAAATTGAATGCTAAATGATCGCAAGTTAAACTTCCTGCAGCGCTAAACGCTAAGACCAAAGTTGTAGGCGTCGAAAATTAAGGAGCTGACCGGGTTTTGAACTCGGAATCCCTCGTACCACAATCCAGCACTTAGCTTGCTGCCCCACGACAGCTCCACTACTTTCCTATCTAATTCGACCACCTACCAAATATCGAAACAAGCCTTACTAGACTTTATACTCCTCGGTCAGCCTAACAATACATTCGTCCTCGAATGTGAGCGATCGATGGCACTCACGATTGTCCATCCTTACATCTCGGACTTCCACCAGTCAAGGCTTCCTCACTGTACCTAATACGAACACCGAATAATCTAAACTGTCCCTCCTCGAGCCAGCAGATCCGAATCCCACACAGGGTACGCAACGAACACCGAATAATCTAAACTGTCCCCTCCTCAGGCCAGTAGATTCGAATCCCACACAGGGCATGCAACGAACACCGAATAATCTAAACTGTCCCCTCCTCGGGCCAGCAGATTTGTATCCCACTTCTGAAAACTGTAGCCGATCTCGCTTCCGGAGACAGAGGCCCCCCTCTCCGCCTAATCCAGCACTACTATATATTGAACTCCAGAGATTTGCAACAATCTACAAGTAGTAAGTCTCTCTATTTAAATTTTCTTCTATTATTGATTACATCTCCTCCCCCGCGGTTTCCCCTCGATTTAAACAATTAGACTCAGGTTGGTTTTTTTTCTTTTATTTATAGTGAACAATTCGAGTTCTAATCCTAATGCCATCCGCCGTTCAACCCGAAGTCGATTTTGAGTGGTGCAAATAATAAGAACCTTAGTATGCCTAACGTCGCTTGCGTCATCGCACCTTAGATTTAGAGTTGATCGCTTCCGTCGCGCCGCGCGTTACTCTGCTACATATTATTGATTACATCTCCTCCCCCCGGTTTCCTCTCGATTTAAACAACCAGACTCGGGTTGGTTTTCTTTCTTTTATTTATAGTGAACAATTCGAGTTCTAATCCTAATGCCATCCGCCGTTCAACCCAAAGTCGATTTCGAGTGGTGCAAATAATAAGAACCTTAGTATGCCTAACGTTGCTTGCGTCATCGCACCTTAGATTTAGAGTCGATCGCCTCCGTCGCGCCGCGCGTTACTTTGCTATACTACGCCCACGCACACGCACACTACCGAGACAACTCACCAATAGAGATGACATACAGTCTCCTCCGTCTCCCGCACCTCGACTGCCCCCCATCTCTCCAGCTTCTTCCATAGAATTTCTTGAGGAAATAATTGCTGTACCTGCCTCTCCCGAACCAAGACCTCCATCCTCTAATCAACCCTTTTCCGATGATATCGATCAAATATTAAATCTTTTTCCGGATGAACTCCTCCCTCTAGATTTCTATTTGTTACCCACTCGTCGAAATTTACCCGTAAGATATTCCACTCCACCTCCACTTTTCCGCCTTTCTCCGCTTCCTCCAGGGGTGCGTTCATAAAGTTTACTCTTTAACTTATAGCGTTTTCGATTATACAGGATTTGAACGACCCAGGGTTGGTTAATGACGTCATTGCAACCTCTCCACCAATGAAAGACTTGCATTTATAGTAAAATAGTGGGCTTGTTCGTTTTAGCTGCACTGGGGCAGCTCTGGGTCTGCTCTAAACAAGATAATACAGGACAAACTATTTATCTGTCCTGTATTATCCTGTGTAGAGCAGACCCAGAGCAGCCCCAGTGTAGCTAAAACGAACAAGCCCAGTGATTGATCAACCCTGGGTCGTTCAAATCCTGTATAATCGAAAACGCTATAAGGGTGGAGTCCCATGGAGCGTATTAGGCGTATCGCGGATTGCGCGTATCAAAAATCTGACCAATCACGGACGTTCCGCTGTTCTTGATACGCCACCATTCCGGCAAAGTCATTATTGTAGCGTATTATAGGTTGAATGTCAGTTGATATAAAATAAATTTCAAATAGTTTTTTGTAATTGTCATCAATTATGAACAAAGAAAATATAAGTCCTGTGAGTAGTATATATGTAGCATTTTGAAATATTATTTTTGTAATATTTATTAATAATAATATTTTAAGGTTACTTAGAATTTAATGAAGCATATTTTTGTTTAGTCTACACTGATTATTTCAGTTTAATATAAATATCGATATACATATTTATTATG